TCAAATTATTGATGCAGTGTCGTTATGAAATTCTCAATGCATTCATTTGCATGCGCTGAATTATAATTAAATAGAATATTTGAACTTTTCCACTTTCACATTTCGCACACGTTACACGACGCGTTGACGGTGTACGATTGCCAAGTGTCGAACACTCAGTCAAGCTCGGTTGGTAGCGTCCTACCAAGTAAACGTCATGTCACTCATTTACACCTAACAGTCGTATTCTTGTTGCGAGCTGCTTGAGAGCAGGAGAGGGAGAGCGTTTCTATTATCAAAAAGTCGCGTCATAACGGTGCTGAGGTGGGTGTGTAATAATTTATGCATGCCTTGAGTATTGAGTACAAATTTAGAATTGTCAATCACTTTGCATTGAAGTGAATTCATAAGTGCACAAGGTGAAAGAAATTGAAAGAAAAAACACAGGTAAAATAGAATAACAAGCAGCCTGCTGAATGTCACGCCAAGTAGCAAGTCTGGGTGGGGAAAAGGCCTATACTACCAGATAATCTATATGTATATACATATATGGTACTCGTACGACGCGTTATGGGTGGTTTATTTGTACGGATCTAGATATATTTGTATGTATATGTATATACTTCTACATGCATTTTCTATTTAATGCATATGTAGCTTGTGAAAAGAACTGTGTTGTTAAATTTTTTACTGAATTCGACTTGTGTTTGAAGAGCCTTGTTTTAAAGACTGAAAAGAGTGTTTATTGAATCAAAGAGAGATGATGCCTCTAATCTTATGCTATGAATATCCTATCCTTAGCCTTAATTAATAATTTCCCACATTATTGAAATCTTAAGTTTTATACATTTTGTTTAATTTTTGGTATAAGGATTTATCTCTTTTACAAAATTCACTGTTTTCCATATAAGAGCTTGATTTTGATTGATCAGTGTGTTTAGCAGTTATTTATATCCTACAGTGGTCCGATATCGATCCGATTTCGACAAGAGAGCAGCTTCTTATGGAGGAGGAGATCGATATCTGAAACGGGGGGCTAGTTCGCGTATACAAGGTGCGTTCAGTAACAGTAAAAAAGTAACAAAGTAAACTCTAGTGGCCCCATATATATGTCGACTAGTGCGTTAGAATCTGCTATCCTTTATCGACTTCCAGTTAAAATTTCATGAGATTTCATTTATTGGAAGTGAAGTTTTTTCGTTTTAAATGTCAGTATGTTTTTGTCATCGGTGCGAAAATGAGCTTCGAACAAAGAGCACACATTAAATTTTGTTTTAAAATTGGTAAAACTTTTACCGAAACGTTTCAATTGATGAAACAAGTTTATGGCGATGATTGCCTATCCCGTAGCAGAGTGCACGAGTGGTTTTAACGTTTTCAAAGTGGTCGTGAGGACATAAATGAGAAATGAGCCGAAACCCAAAAAAAAAGAATTTGCGGTATTCTACCTTGGAGTTTTGAAGCGTTTGTGCGCCGTATTCGACGTGTTCGGCCTTAATATCGCGAAGATGGAAGTTGGCGTGTGTTGCACGATAATGAACCGTCTCATCGATAGACGCTTGTGGCCGATTATTTGACCAAAAATCACATTTTAACAATCAACTCAGTGGTAAGGACTCTGTAAAAGTGCGGTTTGTACTTTTTTTCCAATACCCAGAAGGCACAATCGAATCCTGCTAACTTTGATCAATTTGCCTCTGCTACTAGTTATAACATCTACACACACATTTAATTATAACATTATGAAGCTATCCATTACAACACATCCATCATGAAACGTTAACCGCGGCGAATGATAGACTTACTTCATTAGCAAGTAACAAGCACTTAAAGCTAACACGCGCTATCTTCATTCACATCGGCGACGTTCGTTCAGTCTATAGAAGGTCTTCATCGCATTCATCTACTTACACGCATTCTCATTCACATCCGCATCCGGTGTGCACAACCGACCGAAATGTCAAAGGCATGCGACCTTTGCTGCGAGCATGTGTATTATTGATTTCATTGCCCTTTTGTTGTGGTTCCGAGTCCTCATCGTTGTTGCTGTTGCTGTTATTGTGTTATGTTAGTTGGCATTGTCAGCGCCGTTGACGATTCAAATTGAAAACGCACGAATTAATGAGTTCAACGATTCACGAATCAGACAACACAACCGGCATGACACGCAAGAAGCTCTTCAAACGCTGCCGGCTAAAACCGCTACATTACACTTCGCGACGTCGCTGCAGCGTCGTCGACATCCTGTAAGCTATTGTAAAGGAAACCACTGATTAAGAGTGGCAACGCACAAACGGATGTGTAGCTAAGCCATCAACTCGGAACAGCCGAAAAGCAGCCAGCAATCTCCCGCCACCAGCCGCCAACCACAATTGACAAAATCTATTGAAATGGTCGAGCCGGGGTAGCTTGCCCACTTGAGCTATTTACAGAAGCAATAGGCAGGCTGTCGCACGCACACACACACTTGCGGCGTTGCATTAATTCGTATATAAATAGGTATATACCTGCCTAGGGTCTCTCGTGCATGTGTGAGTGTCAGCGTCCGCCTTCACTTTGCGGCTTCTGGGGATGCTTCGACTTTCGGTGCGCGTTAGCATATATGCGACTTCCTCTGTTGACTCGCTTGAAACGTCGCCTGTCTTCTGTCTCTCGGCTTTTCCTGTTGCCTTGCATATGCGTTCGCTCATTCAATCGCTCGTTTATTCGTTCGTTCGGTACGTGTTGACAAACATTTCAAGCGTGGCTCAATGCACACTCCACATCAAGTGCCTATTTGCTAAATCCCATTCACGTATGCTTATGTTCATATGGAAGTATGTGTGTGCTAAGAGTTTGAAGTGTGAATGTATTTGTGCTTTGTAGTGTTTTTGTGTCCATTAATATCTGCACTTATCCCTTTGTATCACGAAGTCGTTGATTGATGTTTTCATGTGGAAATGTAATTGAGTTTCTTTGGCAGTTCATGTCATCATAGCTGCGAGTGGTAAGGCAAAGTGTGGTTGAAGGTAGCAACAGGCAAAATAGGTGGGGAACTGGTTTCCGGCTGGTGTGAAACTACTAATTAATGGATTTACTCAACTGTGGTCGATTACGCCGGGACATTTATATAATACGTATTTATGTACGAGTTATGTAAAAAAATCCTGTTCCTATTCGCTAATCTAGATATTAGGCAGAAGAAGTTTTCGCTGATCAAACTCATCACCCACTGAAGAAATCATCAGAACGTACAGAAGTGTACAGCTGGTAATATATAAAATAACTGATCCGCTAGGATCTGACTAGCCTATTATCCATGTTATAAATCCGAGGAGTAGTTCAGAAAAAAATAAAAGTTGAGTGCTGTAAACGTTGCGCGCCTACGGGGAGCTCTGCAATGGAACTGAAACCGCCCACATATACTTCTAAGGAATTCTCTACTCTACTTAAGTTTACTAGGAGTGCTAACAGGCCACTGTCTCTTATGGGCAAGCATGCCAGCAGACTGGCGATACCATACAACGTCTACTGTAGAAGCTGTCAAAAGGTAGAAGAAGAAGATACTATAGAACATCTTATTTGAGAATACAAGTTTTGTATAGAAAAAGAATCGTAACTATTGGCCGAAGGTTTCTTGACGATGTCTCGGAAGTTGCACATAATAGAGTGAAGAAATTTTAGTCCCAATGGTTTCAAAATGGGCCTTCGGAAGTTGGTTTTTCACATACAGTCCGTCTTTTCGCCTAGAGTTTTTATATGACAATTAATTTTGGTAGATTGTTCGGTAAAAATCCAATGTTTTATTAAAGCTCCTATGAGCATAATAAACCTGTTGTACTGTACTGTTGTTCTTGGTTACATGTGTATAATAATGGACCAATTAGTGACTACTACTAGCGGTCTGTTGCACCGCTTTAAATCAACAATTAATATTGGTCTCCAACAAGTCAGTCATAGCTGACTTATCAGCAGACCATGTGGTATAAAGACGTTAAATAACATTACTTAGGTAACCAATTACCAGAATTCCAAAATGTTGGGATTAAAAATTTAAAATTTCAGTTTGAATTGCAAAATTGTAATTAAAAATTGAAAATTTGATTTTTAATTCGAAAATCAGAATTCAAAATTTATAAAATATAAATCGTTTGATTTTACAACTTTTCCGAGCACAGCTCTAGGGTATTGATGAATTTTTAACTTCCCGCTAAGAAAATGGAAAATTTTCTAAAAATCGGGAAGATATTGGTTTCACCCAATTTTGCGAGTTCTCAACAGATCTCGACGTTCTGAGGGTCGAGGAAGCTTCCCCGAACATTTCTACGATGATGTCCGTATGTCTGTATGTATGTGTGGATGTATGTGTGTGTGTGTGGAGGTATGTGACCCTCTTATAACTATTAAACTGCTCAACCGACCGGCATTCCAAAGGGTTTCATTGCACTTGAATTTCGTGTAAGTTTGGACCCAATCGGACCAGTAGATTTCGAGAAATCTCAAAAATAAAAATTTTGAAAAATCGTTTTTTTCGAATTTTTTCCAAACGACTTGACCGATCGACACCAAAAACTAATCAGTTCTAAACCTTGAAGAAACACATCGTTTGCCGCAAACCGGGTCGAAATCGGTTGATTTACTTGCTAGATATCGAACACGAAAAATTTAGAAGAGCTCAAAAGCAGTGAAAAAAGCGAAATTTGAACGTTAGCGTATGAAATTAGAGAGAAGTTGCAGGGATGGCCCTTGAGGCCAACCGTTTTCCACATTTTTCAATTTTTTATTATGAACTTTTTTTTCTTCAATCCGATATTTGTAATTAATTTTAGTTTTTTGTTTCTAATCCGGTTCTTGGTATTAGAAATTTTAAAATTATTTTTAAACAAGATTTTAGGGAAATTAGAGTTCGGAACCAAATATACCGTACTGAATGTATATAGTATATATTATAATTTACGTATATTTGCTAAACTTCAGTAAATTGATCAAATAACTGTAAATGAAATAATGAATATCTGCTTTTTTTGTAAATATTTTTCCAGATCCATATGTTGTTGCCTGGAAGCGTGGCATCGCCATTCTCACCGCCGGCAATGTGAAGGTAACACCGGATCCACGTGTGTCGCGTGCCGAGCGATTCAACTTACAGATACGCGACGCAGTGCCACAGGATGCCGGCGACTACATCTGCCAGATTGCCACAATGGAGCCGCGCGAAATTACGCACACAGTCGAGATTTTGGGTAAGCACTCAAAAAACACAAAAAAAAAACCCACACACAAATATTCTAAGCATATCTGGAACTATAATATATGACATTTGTTATGCAATAATGGCTTAGTAGAGCAGAACAAGGCAGCTCAGCTCATCAACTGCTCACATATGCAAACTAGGAGAGAACAATATTTTGCGTCTAATTAGAGTCGAACAATGTCGAGAGTCATTTGCATACACACACACATATATGGTATTATATATATATAAACATAGATTCTATTGTTGCGTTTATAATTTTTTTTATTGTTTTTGTGCATGAAAAATAATTTCGTGTGCGCTCGATTCGCATTTATTTGCAAGTTAGCTAATTTTGTGTATGTGTGCATATGTTTGTATGTTGCGTCATGCTATCTGCCATGGCGAGCGAATGAGTGCCGCCGGAAATGTGTCAACAAGTTCCGCTACTGCTACATTCGCGTAACGGCATTTGGTTGTTAGAAGCACATACCCGCATACACACACACTCACACACGCCCAAACAAATATGATAATCAATTTTTCGAAAACGAATTTTCACATGAATGCATACCGTTATGCCGCCGCGCATATTTGCTCTTCCAGAAGACTGACTCATATTGATGAAATTCGCGCGTGCACAAATGCAACACAACAAGCATTGAATGGTGGATTTTCAAGCGATCAACTGATGCAATTGTGTCAAGGATAATGAACTTGGCTGGCGTGAGTCGGTGTGTTTGTGTGCGCGTGTCAGCTTTGAAATTATTTGTTAGAAATTTGCATATTTTTGAGTTAACAGTATGTGGAAAATTGTTTGCATTTTTAATGCAGCGCATCAACAAACAACAACAACCAAAATTGTTATGTGTTGTTATTGTTGGTTGTAGTGGGTTAATTAAAAGTATAATTTAATGAACGCAGCGTTGCTTGCGCAATATCTCATGGTGGTTTGTCAAAGCGTTTTCTGTTTCGTTGGCTGTTTTGATATCTGTCCTCAGCGCAATTATTTAAATATACTAATCGATATTAGCTCGGAGTTAATTGGAATATTTTGAAAATTTTCGGTAACAATATTGCATAAACGATTATTCATAAAAGGTAAATTATTTATCAAATGGAGTGCTGAGAGTTATTTTCAATGATTTTTCGGTATGTACATACATAACCTACAAGTATATATATATAAATATTAGGATAGGCCGACAAAAAAAATTTTATTTTTCTTTAGTTACTGTAAAATAAATGCTGGTAGAATTTAAGATCTTAAAATTAATATCAACCAGTGGCGCGATGTGATTGAGGCCCTATAAAGTGTATATAGGTATAAGTGATCAGCGTAGTTAGCAGAATCGATTTAGCCATATCCGTCTGTCTCTCCGTCGGTCGTATATATGCGAACTAGTCCCTCAGGTTTTGAGATATAAATCTGATATTTTGCACTCGTCCTTTTCTCATCAAGAAAATGCTCGTTTTCGTAACAGTCAATATCGGACATCTATACCAAGAGGCTGCCATACAAACTGAACTAACGGAATCAAGCGCTTTTATTGTTAACTTTTTTATTTTACGAAATTTGGCATGGATAATTTTTTAAAGCAGTTGTGCAATCCCTGATGATATTGTTCAGAGCGAGTCTTTATAGCATATAGTTGCCATACAAACTGACTGATCAGAGATCTCGTAAAGAATTTTTGTATTTGTGAAGGGTATTATAGTATTAGAGTATGGTATATTCATTACAAGACAAGTTGCTCATACCTCGATAAAGTTTTGTCCAACCGCTTGCTATTCTATCTGTATTTGAGTATGTTAGTATATTTTATTTGAACCAGTTGCTTGTTCGTTTCGTCACCAAGCAAGTTTTGGCAAATCAAATACAGATACAACTACTATAATTAAATACAAACATATACATATGTATGTGGTGAAATCTTGAGAGAGTTTAGGGCTTCAAAATATAATGCTCGAAACACAAGCAGAATACTATTAAAGTTCACACAAGTTTTTTATATAGCCATATACACGAATTCATACATAAATTTGCTAGTATATTTCAATTTTTTTCATATAGTATATAATAAAGCATTGCCCACCGATTATGCGTAATCTAGTCAATTGCAGATTGACTCCATTCGCACTTTCCTGCTCATTCTTATGCTAATAAATTCTGCTTAGAAATACATATTAGCGCTTGTTTCACCTAGTTGCCTCCAAAGGCTATCCGATGTTCTGTTGGCTCACGCTATTTGTTGTAATTATGTATTTATATCCTTTGTCCATGGCTTAGAGTAAGTAGTCGCCGGGTGGTGACTTCATTTAAATGCCACTTGAGAGTATTTGTGGGCAACGAAATTAGTTTTTTTATTTTATCGACGAAAGCGAAAATTATGCCAGCCATCTATGACTGATATATTCGCAGAAAAACTCGAACTTTCAGTGGGTTATTATTTATGGATATATAATATATGTGTATGTATATAACAAAAATTATATATTAATATTAGCAAATAATAAAACATGCCCAGAAAGAAAAGAAAGATTGTTGAAAATGTTTTATGTTTAATAGTATCAGCTATTGCTAATGTGTCGACTGTTGTTTTGAGCATTCATTTATATCGCAAGAGCTTCAGTTTCAGAAGCCGCAGAATCAATTTTTTTGTTTATTACAATTATTGAGCTGTATGTATCTGAGGCAAATGAGGGGTCCTACATAATCTAAATCACCGTCATAAAACACACACTTTTGTTTTTTTGTTTAAATTACGTTCGGCCATTAACAAGTTCAACAATCCACTCTTAGTGAAAACAACACTTTATTTTAGTAATTTTTGCCACAGATGGCATTTACACCAAGTCACACCATTTGTGGTTTAAGCGACTCCACACCTCTATAGTGGCAGCTGCCTTAGAAACTTAAACTTACTTCTTATAACCATTGAATTATTCGCTCATCTCACAAAAATATTATTTATAGACACAAATTCTCCTCGGTCCAAATCTGGTGTCCCTATTTTTCTTCTCTCGAACCCGATGTAGCCAGCCCGTACTATTCAAGAGCAAAAGCTATCAAACCGCCTTTTACTCAGTGCGCAATCAATTCACAATGAATCAATCAACAATGAAAACATTTCCTACAAGGTCGCTGTAAGCACATCGATCATTACGTTGCCGTACACTTCTTATGCAAATGAGCAACGCAGATGCGTATGTGTAAATAGACTGGACAGTAAGGCGCATAATAAACAGTCAAGTATGGCAAATCGATGAGGAATTACGACACTCCACGTAGCCGCCAGACGCAACAAAAGCTAAAGCATGCTTGCTACCATTTATGACCATAAAAAGAATGAAGCAGACCGCAGAGCATAAAAGTCAATGCAGCAATATTTGCAGTTCAGCATTTAAGGGCTTGAGTATGTGAGCGGTTCATAGCTATGTGTGTATGTTTTAATGACACCGCCAGCATAAATTGGGAAATCAATAAATTACAAACGCATACATGCACATATGTATGCACTGAGCGTTTGCTAAGCAGGGCGGAAGAGTAGCTTTATATACACACAGCCCTAAGCCCCAATCAAAGAGGATCAGGCTCCTTAAAATTCGTTTCCTCTCTGCTCATTTGCCTTCTCCGTTTTGCGTCTCACTTTGGCGCTCTATATCGACATCACACATATTTATTTATTTTCGATTTTGACTGGGATTTTATAGTTAAAGCGAAGGGGAGAAACGTTAAATACATACTACGAGTACAATGCATACGTAGTTGTTAATGTTGTATGAGTGTGTGTGTGTGCGTGCGTATGCTTTGAGCCGTCGTCGGCAGCATCTTTGTTGTAAAACTTCTAATCAGAATTGATGAATAATTTGCATATATTTCCCGAAGGCATTTTCCCTTTTATTATTTTCAATCTTCCCGGCACACACACACACATACACATACTTCTCTTAGGAACTCTTCAGTTCCATTCTTTCATTCTTCAAGTTTGCATATCTTGTGTGTATGTTTAGTGCGTCCAATAGGGATTGCCGTTGCTGTCTACTGCTGCTTGAGTATATTTAGTTGCCTAAGAGAGGAGCTGTGAGAAAACAGCATGAAGATCCTGCAGTGTACGCCAAAGGAAGGCGAAAATCGCAAATCTCTAAAGTACGACATGCTTATCAGCATGAAATAAAAGAAACTACACAAAATGCCAGCAGCAAAAACCCCTACAACAACAACAACAATATATGCTTACAACAACAACAGCACTAAAAGTGATTGTATGCAGATAGCTACCGAAATTTGTTGCATTGAAGTGCTGCAGCTTTGTTGTTATTGTTGTTACATGCTTATCCTCAGCTTCCGTTTACTCAAGCCTCATACTCAGCTCAACTTCTTAGCTTAGCGAAATTCTTCGCTCGCAGCTGTGTAACGCCGCCTGCATAAACCCTCTCAGGCGTTGCACTGGCACTCGCTGGAAAATTGAATCAAATGCGTTTGCCACGCGCAAAAATAGAATAACGGCAAGTATCTATTGCACTTGCCTTTGCGGAACTGCTGCAAGCATTTTCTGCATGCAAATGACTTCTGCCCGCTGTGCGCTTTGTGCAAAAGTCGGCGCATGAATTTATTAGCAGCTTTTCGCTATTCAAATTTCCACTATTCTACTATCTCTGTGTTGTGGATATACCAAGCTTCACTTGGTGTTAAAATTGTGATTTGAAGTGTGAAAATATTTTAATTGTCAGATACTTTTAACACACGCCATCTTATTAACTGTAATTGTGACATAGACGTACATATTAAGGTGATCCTCAATCAATAATAAATAAATGATTTGGAAAGTTTCACTCGCTAACAAATATAGTTATTAACTGTCTTCGATTCACCAAGAATCGAAAAAAAGCGAACCGAACAAGCTATACGAAATACGAGCGCCTTTGTTTGGCTTTCTATAAGCAATTTTATTTGTTAATTAAGTCTGAAGTTTCTAAAATAAAAAATGTAATTTTTGACATTCATTT